GGTTTATGCTGAGTTTTAATCTACCTAAGAATAATCTTAAGGACTGTTCTGTCAATTCTTTACTTTATGACTTTGTTGCCAATGATTGAATTTGGAGTATCCTACGAAAGAAATCCGCAGAACTGTTGAGATAGTGGGTTCTGTCAATGTGTTGATTTGTCTTGCCATTGCGAAAAAAATACTTTTTTATCTAAATCCAACGATTAGGAAGTTCAAGAAATTGCCTGAATGTAGAGATGAATTGTGCTTAATTTAGTCACCATTTTTCATGTATGGTTTTGGATATGATAATGTTCATGGGGATTATAAGGTAGCAACAAGGTTTCATAATGTGAGTTATGGCGATTCATTTCTTGTTAATGTTAAAATGTTTAGTCTGAATAGTGATTCTTGGACTAATCATTCTGAGAGTGGGGTGGTATGCAATAAGTCGGGTGTGTTTGTGAATGGGAAACTTCATTGGGCTAATAGGATTTGTTGTCGTTCTGGTTGGGATATCATTTTTGTTGATTTGGCTGATGGGGCTTGGGGAGAAGTGGAGCAACCCTACTATGGATAAGGGGATTTTGGTTGGATGTGGGAGTTTTGCGAAGTGATCTTTCCATATTTTGTAATTATCGAAGAACTCAAGCTGATGAGTGGGTTTTGAAGGAGTATGGGGTTATACAATTTTGGACAAAGATGTTTACCATCGATATTCCTTGTGATCCTATGATGGGTTGTAAGTTTTGTCGATTCTTTTGCATATCAAATAAAGGTGAAGTTTTGTTTCATTTTGGCTCAATTTTCATGATTTACAATTCAAAGGATCACTCAATCGCACATCAAAGCCCACATCTAGAGGTTACCAGGTATGCATATGAGGCAAGCATCTACATAGAGAGCCTAGTTTGGCCTTTTTTTCAATGGAAGGAATCAAGGATGCAACAACGGAGGATGTTGAAATAGCTCCGATGAAGATGATTGTGTGATTAATAGTAAGACTTCTCTGCATATTTCTCAAGTGTTGTTAAAATCTGTTTCTTTTCAAGTATAGAACAAGATATTATATATTATGTTGTTCTATCTTTCACAATATGTAGGATCAGCTTGACAACCGCTCGATGTTGTATCATTTTTCATCTAGACATCAGATTAGTCAACAACGGTAAACATTGTTTTTTTGACTCGATCAGATGTTCAAAGATTACCAGAAGGGAAACATTTTTTATGCAACAACCACTACTAAAAAACTGCTAAAAAACGACGGAATAAAAAGCGACGGACGGCGTCGCTCCAAAAAAGCGACGGACTAAGAGATGCCGACCGTCGCTTTTTAATTAAAATAATTACTTTTAAAATTATTTTACAAAAAGCGACGGACTGCATCTCTTAGTCCGTCGCTTTTT